TATATATATTGTGTGTGTGTAATATAAGGGCTATAGGGAAAAGACTATGTCTAAAAAGATTAAATCTGCCCTAAGAACACCACGGGAAAGACTGCTGCAGTACAAAGAGAAGAAAAACCCAACCAGGACCCCTCTACCCTACTCTAGAGGTAATACGCAAAATCATCAAAGATCTACAGCCAGTACTCTCAGAAGACCCCATACTTAAAGAAATATTCCCTCAGCCCCCAATACTAGCATTCAAGCAACCACTGAACCTGAGAAGAAAATTGGTACGCAGTAAGCTGACCCCAGAACAGGCGCTTACACAGAATGGCACAGTACAATGCAATAAACCCCGCTGCAAACTTTGCCAACATATATGTGACAGAAATACAGCGAGTCACAATAGCAAAGCGTACACCATTAAGGGGTCATACTCATGCACATCTGCTAACGTGGTGTACATGATACAGTGTTCAGCATGTGACAAAGGTTGTTACATTGGGGAAACTGGCCTTAAGCTGCAGCTCAGGATGAACCTACACAGGAGGTCGATCAAGGACCACAAAGAGGATAAATATTGCACTCCAGTAGGACATCACTTCTCCCAGAAGGATCACTCCATCCAAAACCTCAATATTAAAGTACTAAAACGGAATTTTAAAAACTCTCATGAAAGGAAAACATTTGAGATGAAAATGATTTTACATTTCAACACCATAAAGGAGGGACTTAATGTGGATTCTGGTTTTCTGACACACTTCCAGAACTTTTTTATGAATCTATCTGTTTAGGGTTTATTTGTCATCCTACGTTTTATTTTTTCTGTCTTTTGATTATCAGGAGGCAATTTTTACTCCCAGGTCCAACATTTATGACACCCCACTAACCCCCTCCCCCCTCCTCTAACAGCTTTCTCCTGTCTTAACTGACAAACTGTCATTTTGCTTTGGCCCCGTTCACATGTAGCGACTTATCGTGCGATTTCCGCCGCGATATCGCGCATTTTTGCTGCGCGATATCGCGAGAAGTCGCCGGCTAATGATAGTCAATGGAGCTGTCTTAGCTCCATGTCGCGGTCGCAAGTCGCTTCTACCGGACCCTTTTTTCGGCGGATTTTGCGCGATTTTGCTTTTTCCTATGGAGCCCGACGGAGAAGGTCGCGCTACCGTCGCTGGAAAGTCGCGCTATCCCGGCCGCTGCAAAGGTATGTCGCTACATGTGAACGGGGCCTTAGTATTGCTTCTGACCTGAAGAAGAGAGGTTCACTCTCGAAAGCTTGTCTTTTATATATTTTATTAGTCCAATAAGAAAGGTATCATTGCACACTGCAATACTGCGTTTTTTGTTTTTTTTTACTGTGACTCCTTGTCATGCTTTTATTCTGGATGTCCTTCCCACTTTGAAGTTTATCATAGTTTGCCGGTGTATCTGTGACAATAAATTAGGGATGCACTGATGACGTTTTTTCGGTATCGAGTACGCTGGGCAGCATGTGATTACCCGCTGCCCAGCTTCTTGATTGCCCGGGAAGCCGGCTCTGTGCTGTTTGGCCAGATCGATGCTGATTGGCTAGGAAGCCGGCATCCTAGTGAAACCGTATGGAGCCGCCTTACTGGCCAATCAGGAAGCCAGGCTGCGAGTCATTACCCGCGGCCCAGCTTCCTCATTGGCCGGTAAGCCGGCTCCATGATTTTTTATTATTATTTTTTTTTTTTTACTGTGACTCCTTGTCATGCTTTTATTCTGGATGTCCTTCCCACTTTGAAGTTTATCATAGTTTGCCAGTGTATGTGTGACAATAAATTAGGGATGTACTGATGACGGTTTTTCGGTATCGAGTACCGATATTTATATTTTCGTACTCGCTGATGCCAAGTACCGATACTGGTACTTCCAGTAGCATGGAGCCACCTTCCCGAGCAATCAGGAAGCTGGGCAGCATGTGATTACCCGCTGCCCAGCTTCTTCATTGCCCGGGAAGACGGCTCCATGCTGTTTGGCCAGATCGATTCTGATTGGCTGGGAAGCCGACATCCTAGTGAAACCGTATGGAGCCGCCTACCTGGCCAATCAGGAAGCCAGGCTGCGAGTCATTACCCACGGCCTTTGCGGAAATCTCCTTCTGACCGGAAGTTCCGGTATCGGGATATATATCGGAGCATTTGGGCAAGTGTAAGTATTTACCCAAATACTCGGTACCGATACTAGTAGCGGTGCATCCCTACAATAAATAAAAACAAAAAATTTTTTTTTTTTTTCTTCTTTGTTTCAGGGTTTTGGACATAGAATTATAAATGAATGAATTCTGTATTATTGTATAACAGTATTTTAGCTATTTTAGAAAAAATATTATGTAGACTCTTGTAACCCATCAGACTTTTTAAAAACACTTGTGTTATTACGATTTAATATTTTTGGGGGAGGGGGTGCTGATATTAACCACACCTGAAAGACAACCCTTTTAACTTAAAAAAACAATTGTGCCTTTTTGTTTTTAAACAAAGAAGTATTCTTTCAGTGGCTTCTTCACTAAATCTTTGAGCATGCACAGTTCACCCTTTAGACTTCTATATGGCTGGTAGAGGGATAGGAGCCGATTTGTTGCCCAGCCCCATGGAAGTCTTTGGGACTGAATGTTGGTGCATACATTGACTGAAGAAGAGTCAAAGGGGGGCTCCTGATGTGAAAGGAGGGACTTCCAATGTAAACAGGACTCCTCATGTGAAGGGGGTCCTGATGTAAAAAGAGGGGGCTCTGATGTGAAGACAACTACTGATGTGAAGGGGAGAACCCCTCCCTTTTTTTCTTTCTTTATTGGGTCCCCCCTTAAAATCCACACCAGACCCATATCTGGGATAAGGGTCTGGTATGGATTTTGTAGGGACCAGATGTTGTTTTTTTTAATTTAAATTTTTTTTTTTTTTTATGTTCGACTGGGGTGCCTTCTGGCTTCCTCGTGGGTGCCTAGAAATTTTTCACACAGTGTCAGGTTTTCCATGTGCAGATTGCCCATGTAAACAAATGACGCTATGCTCAGGAGGGTGGGTTCCATGCAGAAAAGGACAAAAATCTGCCTCCGCCCCGGTCTGCTCCAACAACCACTCTTTGCCATGAAGCCGCAGCAGCTCTTCATGTGATGGTAGGACTTTGATGTGAAGGGGCACTGAGCACACTGATGTGAGGGAGGGAAGTCTGATGTGAAAGGGGGGGGCTTGTGATGTAAAGGGGGGGACTCTGGTGTTAAAGAGGGTTCTTAGTGTGAGAGGAGGTGACTCTGATGTGAAGGAGGGACTTCTGATGTGAAGGGGGTCTTGATGTAAAATGAGGGGGCTCTGATGTGAAGGCGTCATCTGATGTGAAGGGTGGTTCCTCGTGTGAGAGGGGAACTCTGATATGAAGAGGAGAACCCTTCCCTTTTTTTTTCTTTCTTTCATGAGGTCTCCTCCTTAAAGTCCACACTAGATCCCTATCTGGGCTAAGGGTCTTGTATAGATTTTATAGGGACCACACTTTGTTTTTTTACATTTTAGACTGGGGTGCCTCGAGATTTTGAGACCTTTCATATAGTGCCGTGACTAAAACAAAATTTGAAGCGCTGGTCTAGTATGTCCAGTCCAGACAGCTGAGATAGAGTTTATGTATGAGGTTTTGAATGATGTTCATATGTATTTAAATATGCTAACATACTGAATACTTGTCAGCCTCCAAGCTGTGTCATCCTGCAAAATTCCACACTGATTGCTGTTTTTCATTTTCGTAGGTTTCGTCAGAGTTCATGAGGATCACATTTCAACAGCTGCACCCTGATGTAAGACTTTGGGAAAACTCTTTCCTATACACAGGCTGCACCAGGCAGTGCTAGAATAATTCTGGAGAATCTGACGTCTACTGGGTATGGATGTGTTTCCTTACTGGACATTTCTCATTTGCAGTCACTTGACTGTGAAGGCAGCAACCACCCTCTGTCATGTGGATTATTAACCTCTTCACATTCAGGGTTGGACATAACACAGCCATTTGCTGTCCGGCTCATTCCTTCTGTATGTTTACGCTCAGAGGAACCCTTGAATGAACAGAAACAGCCAGTTCCGGAAAGAGACTCCATAACCATTCTCCAGACCCAGTGCTTCCAGCAGCTGGCCTGATTGGCCAATGATGTTCCGGTAAGTTTCTTTACCACCTATGTCATTCAGATTGATTTCAATGTACTGAAAATAAATTCTATTAGATAAACATGTTTTCCCTCTTTCCTGTAGTGAGAGGTATTTAATGAAGTGAGAGCCATAATCTCATTCTTTACCTTTAGTCCCATCTAAAGGTGAATCTATGATCAAGGCTTATCTCTGGTACTCTGTGTGGCAGATCGCTGTATGAATTGAGTATACTTTGATGAGATAAGTCAGCGAGACAAAGTTCTTTCTATGACATATAAGATGGCTACAAAAGACATGGACCAAAATCCTCTGTGCATGGATAGCTAACAAGGTGTAACCATAAACCTATATGTGAACCGTAACTATTTTTTTATAGATGACCATCTGCAGGAAGCCGTCTGGGAAGACAGTGCCTGGAAAGGCGGGCGAGGATGTCGCAGTCGAGCCCTCTCAACATTTCCGAAGAAATGGCTGGAGTTGGCCTCCACACCCTTTACAGTTTGTGGCCTGGATCACGTACCTTCTGTTCACTGTCATTGGATTTGGTGTCCTTGTTCCCCTGTTGCCCCGCCACTGGGTGGCTGCTGGTTATGTGGTATCCTTTCATTGCAGATGTAAAGGAATGTTATCGTCATACCTGCAGTACAGCATAAAGTTACTATTTAGGGGCCAACTCAATAGAGCGAAAGTTAAAATGTTGAATTGCAGATGTTTCGTCATCATGTCTAATCACAGACTTGGAGTTTTTAAAGGTTGCATTTTCATTTTATTCTTTAGACATTCAATAGTAAAACTTCACTTTAAGATTTCTACTGCGAGAATATACAACTACTTGAATTTCCATAGCCTGGTTACAGGTTGTCTTTAACCCTTTCATGACTGAGCTTTTTTTTTTTAAGTTTCTGTTCGTTAATGACTGACACACTTTTTAAGTTTTTGCTGATTCTTCCACGGCAATAATATACTTTCTTACTAAGTGCACTCTCACATATTATATATTGTATTTTTAGAGGACAGATAGGGCTATATAGACTGATTCTCAGCGGTTACTGGCATTACAGAGCCCCAAATAGCTGCTAATGCACAGTGTACATGGGCAGTCATTTGGGCACTTAGTGACGAAGACGTACAGTCTATGTCTCCCGTCGCTAAAGGATTAAAGAGAATGTGTATTTATCCGCTAAATTGCTGTGAGGTGTAAAATAATGCATTTGTAATATTCTGTATTAACCCATTTTAAGAGCTACCATTTTCTATAGATATAAATGGCCTAATATGGAGCAGAACTTGTAAAGTATGTCCAAAGCTGGATAAAGTCAGAGATTTGTTTATTTTTGACTATTATAATAAAAATGTCAGAACCTTCCAAGGCCACATCCCTCAGAGCTCATCATAAAAATGAATGGGATATTGACAGATGGACTTTTATACCTGATTTGTCAGGATATTCTAGCACTGTTGCTAAAATCTGACATTGTAGCTTCCAGTCTATGTGAGCTGACTGTAGTGAAGCTAAACACTTTTATGTAATCTGGATATACAGAGGCCACTAATATCACCAAATACAAAAGATAGTATTAGTGTTGTTTATGGCATATTTGAACTGCTTTTAAAGAAATGTGCACGGCTATAAGCCTGCTGTAGGCTGCGCTGTCAGGTCTTCTTACGTAGCACATACAAGGCAGCACTCGGTTCTCCTTGGGGCTAAGATTAACTTAATTGTTAAAATGCCAGCATTAACACTGACTCTCTAACCCACTACTTCCTCTGACATGGGAAAACGTGTGTCAAAGGAAGTAGTGGATTGGGGAGACTGTGTTCATACTGGAACTTTAACAGTAAAGTGGATTTTAGCCCTAAGGAGAACAGAGTGCTGCCTTGTAGGCGCTACATAAGAAGACCTGATGGCACAGCCTACAGCTCATAGCCTGCTGTAGACCCTAACCATAGAGCACGATTAATCCCCATTAGGGGGGCAAAATTGCACAATTAAGGGCCACTAGGGGGCAAAACTGCGCCTGGATGGATGGCATGGAGCAATATACAAACTGTAAGTGAACTTCTTGACACCCATTTCAGCATTGTGCCGATAAATAGCCATTGGCTTTGGTAGCGGTAACACTTTTCACCTTTTAACTGCTTGAAGACCAGGTGTTTAGACCCCCTTCCTGTCCAGGCCATTTTTCAGTATTCAGCGCTTTGATACTTTGACTGACATTTATTCCGTCATGCAACGCTGTACTGAAATGAATTTTATATCATTTTTTGGGGACAGATAGAGCTTTCTTTTGGTGGTATTTAATCACCACTGGGGGTTTTATTTTTTACTATCATTAGGAAAAATTACTGAAAATTTTGAAAACAAAACGTTTTTTTTTTACATTATGTTAGGAAACATTTATTATTACCCAGTTTTTTGGTCAAATGTAAAAGACGGGGTCACGTCGGGTAAATAGACACCAAACATGTCAAGCTTTAAAATTGCGCGCACCTGCGAAATCGCAGAAAACTACCGTACCCAAAATTGGCCATAGGCGACACTTTAAAAGCTTTTACCGCTCATCAGTTTAGTGTCATCAGTCATTGATGGCCCTAGAATTATTGCTTCCACTGTGACGTTCGCGAGATATGTAACATGTGCGGCGTAATGGGCGCAATCGTCATTTTTTTCACGTATGCGCCCCCGATGCGTGTATGTATGGGTGTGGACTTTAAAAAAAACATTTTTTAATTCTTTTTTATGTGTAACTTTAAATTTTTTTTTTCACTAAACTGTATTGCTATCATATACGGGGGCTAATAAAACCCCCCTATGTGATAGCAAAATATGTGACAGGTCCTCTTTATGGAGACATCAGGGGTCTCCAAGACCCCTAATGTCACCTAGGACCCCCCAAAAGAAGCTGATGAAGCACAGATCTGCTCCATCAGCTTCTATCCAGCTTCTGAAGCTGGAGAGTGACACAAGAATGTGGAAGTGATGTAAAATACAACACTTCCGCATTCTTGCAGCAGAGAGGGGACCAGAGGGAGCTCGTGTACCGATCTCCCTCTGATGCCCTGTGACACAGGCGCCATGCTGATCCAGGGGTCGTTAAGAGGTAGTTAAGAGTCTCGTCACTTTGCTTCTATGAGAGGTAATAAATACCTGTACATGTATATTTACACATTATTTAGCATTCTTACACTTCATGCTAGGTTCACTCTGCTGTCAGAGCTGTAGGAATGTAAAATCCTTTTTGTGGACACGAATAAGTTATTTTCTACAGAAAATGTTTTCAAGCTTTTTGTAGCGTATTGGTAAAAGAATGCTGGGGCTACTGTAGAGGTGGACAAATTAATATGGAATGCAGAAGTCAGACTGTCCAATCAAGGAGCCAGCAGGATTTTTTAGGACCAGCTGCATTGACGACAACAACTAGCGAAAACCTCAAAAGTTAGGCGCCATCTTTAATTTTTAAGGTTCATCGGCTACCTGGCTCCTGGGGTTTGTCCAGCCCTAGGCTACTGCATTTTATAAAAACCCCATAGATGACTGAAGCTGCTTTCTGTCAGAATGCACAGAGTATGAGTGTCCATGCTGAGAACAAGGATTGGCCATACAGAGGATCAAAAGTGTACTCTTAAGCTGGCCATACACTGTACACTGACACTGATTTCTGCCGGTTCTTGATGAACCAGCCAAAATCCATTCAGTGGATGGAACTGACATCACCCTCCATCCGGCATCTTCCAATCAGAAAAATCGAACAAGCCAGTTGAAGCATTTTTAGGCAAAACAGTGACGACAGCTGATTTGGCTGCAGTCCCTGTTTAGGTATTCTGACAGCAGCACATCCACCGCTGTCAGAACACAATAGTCTAACAGGAGTTTTGCCCATCCGTGCTGTTGAGCAGGTTAAACAGAAAAAAATCAACATTGTATGGCCAACTTTAAATGTAAGAGATATCAAGATACTGGTGGTTCTATTTAGAGATAAGCATAGAATATCCATAGTCTGTTGTTCTCCATTTTCTTCTATTGTTCCTTAGCCCCTTTATGCAGTGTTTGGGTGCACTGTTTGCATTACACCTCATCGTCCATTTTTTGGCGGTAACCATCGATCCAGCAGATGAGAATGTACGTGCCAAGAACTCTCCTGGCCCACTGCCCGTGTTCGATAGGACCAAGCATGCTCATGTCATTGAAAACATGCATTGTTACATCTGTGAAGTGGATGTGTAAGTAGAGGTTTCGTTGTCTATTAGATGAAGCAGCCTTGGTTTTGAGAGATGGGATGATGAGGCTGTTAGAACAGATGGAATGAAATCAAAAAAATAAATAAACCATAGACTTTCCTTTTTATTACTAACCATTTTATCACTGGTGTTTGGCTATAGAGGCTCACAGTTGATAACCTCAGAATACAATGGACCTCATTTACTGCAAGGTCTGAAAACCTTCTTCATGTTGGTTAGCGCAACCATTCACAATTATTATTATACAGGATTTATATAACGCCAACAGTTTGCACAGCGCTTTACAATATAAGGAAGACATTACAATCACAATACAACTCAAGACAAGATGGTAAGGAGGGCCCTGCCCTTGAGTGCTTACAATCTAAAAGGGAAGGGGAAGTGATACATGAGAAGGTAGCTGTGTGGGGATAAATTGTTTATGGAAGGCCAATGAGGAGAGAGTTGCAATAGTCAAGACGAGAGATAACAAGCGAGTGGATGAGCAGCTTTGTGGTTTCATTGGTGAAGGGGTGTATTTTGGAGATGTTACAAAGGTGAAGGCGGAAAGATTTGGATGTGGTGAAGAAAGGTGAGGTCTGAGTCCAGGATGACACCTGGCACCTTGGCATGAGGGGAGGGATGAATAGTTGTGTTATCAATCTCAAGGGAAATGTTGGCTGGAAGGTGCACGGGCGGGAGGAAATCTCATGAGCTCAGTTTTTGAAATATTGAGTTTTAAGTGTTATAACATCCAGACCAATATATGTCAGTTAGTAGATTAGTGACACGTTTTTTCCTAATGAGCAACCAAAATTGGTAGTGGTATTAGTAAAGGGGACCAGGTTGTCTGAACCAAGGCTGTCTCATTTGTAAATTGTATTCTATGTAAGACTTGTCATTTAGCAACGATATCGTACTGCTTTATAATGGGTCAGGATCTTCTTCAAAATTGGGGTAACCACAGAATACTAGGCATTATTTGCAGCATTAGATATGAGTGATGCCAGTAGTAGGTACAATACCAGCTGCTGGTTTCCATTTACTTCTGTATTCTAAAGGTGCCCATACACTGTACGATTCTCGTACGAGAATCGCGGGAAATCCCGCGATCGTACGAGAATCGTACAGTGTATGGAAGGCGTGCGACCATTTCTACTGTACGGTCGCACGTCTTCCATCGAACAAGCAGGCTGGAAAACCCGCCGGGAATCGTACGATTCTCGGCGAGTGAGTGGCCTGCTTGTTCGACAACTGACGAACGGGCCGGTGTGCGCACGCGCACACTGCCCGTTTGCCGTGCTTGCAAGCCTCGCAAGTACGATCTGGCTGTCCAAGATGGGCAGATCGTACGTTTTTTTTAAGTACTTTACAACCATCGCAAGACTAAGGTCTTGCGATGGTTGTAAAGTGTATGGCCACCTTTACAGAGATTTCAAAGAGAAGCAATATGATGAAAATACAGTTACACCCCCAAGCTCAAGGAGGTTTGCATCAGAAGCGTTCAATGGCCTCCAGCTGAGCATCGTTGTGACAACCATTTCCTGATAGAAAATGCACTTAACCTGACCGTACATGGCTTGAATTTTGTGTGATTCTTATGAATCATGCAAAATTTGATCTATAAGTGGCCCAGCCTACACCGCATGGCTTCACATACTTTGAAAAATCGAAGCAGCCAGGCTGAAAAAGTTGGCTAAACAGTGACTTCTGCCAGCCAGCTGCAGTCGCTGTTGGGATATTCTGACAGTGATGGGTGTCGGCTGTAGGAAGGCAAAAGCCAACAGGGAAGATTCGGGTATCTCTGTTATGCCTGGATGGGGGAATCTAGTGATTTTCTCTCGTTCAGCCCTTTACCTTTTACACATATATGGCCAGAGTAATTCCCCTTTTGTTGAGAAAAAAAATGAATCCTCTCTCCGGGTGATATGTGTGAATTGAAAGGATTTTAACAAACTTTGTTGCAGTTTCCTACCTGTTTCTGTTGTGAAGAAAAAGCTGTTTGTTGCAGCATGTCCTTTCCAAATGGATTCCGGAATGGGGGTGTCTGGGTTCCTTATCAGCTGGTGGACATTCTGTGTTGTAATGAGGAAAGTTGCAGTGTCGGCATCCCTTTAGTAGTAATTAACCCTTAGGGAGTATCTCACCAAAAATTCAATTCCTGTTGCAAGGCATGCCAAAAAGTATCTCCGTGCAGACTGCCAGGAAAAGCAGTCGACCAATCACAGAAGCAGGAAGTGACATTTCTGGAGGCGTTTCACACACACGCCTCCAGGTTGCCATATTGCATTGAATGTTTTTTGACAGATTTAGAACATGACAGCAGCTACAGTTTTAAATGGAAAGGTCATTTTTAATAAAATTAAATTACAAAATAATTTCTGCAACAATTATATATGATATATATTCATTTTTTTTTAATATATAGATTTTTTTTTTCATTTTTATATTTTATAAAGTGGAGTTACCCTTTAAGTTACTTTTGAGCCATTATTAAGTAACCAAGAGGCTTCCAAATGTGTAGAATCCATGACTTGATTTGTAAATTAAATGTCTTCATGTTCCTTTTTACAAATGACTTCTTTTTGCTGCACTTCTCACCCACCAACACCAATACTGTCCCTGATTTTGACAATCCCTTTCAAGAGCAGCCACAGTAGATTCCTCCAACAAAGCATACTTCACCTACTCCAGAACCAAGTAAAGGTTTCTTGAAAACCATTGGTTCTCAACCTGTGTAACCTCAGGACCCACATTTGTCCTTGGTCATTAAGTCGCGACAAGTGACGCACTGCAATAGAACGCACGGCATTGCGGTACCGCGCAATCCGATGCGGGCGTTTAAACTGGCGGGAGGTGCATTTGGGGTGCCATTCAAATGAATGGCAGCGCAAAGCACCTCCCGCACCAGAACGCATAGTAGGTGCAGTTGCGTGGTACAGTGCGTTAATGGCACAGGACTGTTCAATTATCACACTGTACTAGTGTGAATGGGCCCTCAAAAACACTGACACACAACCACAGACACAATCTCACACACACAACCACAGACACACTTAGAAAAATTATATTTTTATTTTTTTTAAGATCCACCAAGTCTCCCTACCTTACAAGAACTGGAGTGGATCCTTAGCCTGGAGTCCAGTGTGGGCTGCTGTGCTGTGACGCAGCTCCTCTCATATGGTGCATTGTTTGTACAACTCCCTCCGCGCCCTGTAGAGTTGCTGGGAGCCAGAATGTGATGTCACTCCGGTCCAGGCACCTCTACAGGGCATGCGAGGGAGCTGTAAGCAATGCAGGTATGGATGGAGCTCTCTTGCGGTCACAGCTCCAGCCCACCTCACCTGAAGCTGACAGTCAGGCACTGTGCCGCATATTTTGAATGGCTGCTTGACCTGAGAACTGATAGTGTTGCGCTAGGGGAAGGCAGAGGAGTCTCTCACCTAGAAAAGTGGAAGGCACGTGGCGACCCACTGAGCATGTGGCGTGACTCACTTTTGGGTCATGACCCACCAATTGAGAACCAAGGTTGTAAACAATCCAAATCACTCCGATACCAGTCCATACAGATGATAGTGATACAGGATGCAGAAAAAAAGAAAAGGTTTTGCAGCTTAGGCTTTAGAAAATACTCGCCTACTGCTTTCCTTCACATCCTGAATATAGTTGTTCGGGTTTAATCTGCAGCTGATGACATAGAACTAGATAATGGGGGGGTCTATGTTTTTTTGGATAATTAGTAGCTTATTTGTTGCCTGGAAAGTGGGACAATTCTTTAATAAATAATAAAGTAAAACATTATGGCAAATACATTTGAATAAGAAATAACTTGATTTTAAGTCTCCTTGGACTTTGTCTAGCTAGGTGATCATGGACCACCAGCCATTAGTTTGCAATCTGGATGAGTGGTTAAACATCACTGCTGTACAGTTTTCCTGTAATCTATGATGTACTTAGTTTACATCGCATTGTCCTGCTTACTGTGCAGTTATATAATCACTGTGCTTTTCTGCTCAGATGCACATGCTGATCGCTGTACTTTAACTAAGATAGCTAGACCCTGCAGGGAGCTTCTGTAGGACCCACGAGGCTTGTGAATGAGAGTGGGGTGCAGCTGCTTGCAGAGCAATTTCTGCAGCGGTCACCAGGGAGGATGACATATGTTCTCTGCACCTTGAGGGTTTTCATAAGACGTGTTCTGAATACAAGAGGAATGGGGGGAATATAGAAGAGGAGAGATTGACGTCTGTAGAGGAGGATTCTAGTGCTGACCATAGAAATATGAATTTCATCCAAACTGTTTTAAATTATTAAATGATTATCAATGCGGAAAACAACAAACATTTGTTCCTGCATTCCTTATCACTTTTAATGACCAAAGTCAACCAGAAGCTGTTAAAAATCCTATACCACTGCACTACTTAAAGTAGTATTAAGGTCTGGGCCTTTTTTACCTTAATGCATTCTCTGCAATAGGGTAAAAATGGCTCTGCACATTTTTTTTCTACCCCAGTCTCCCCCACACTTACCTGTCACCTGCGCTTGTCCCCGCCGCCGTCCCGGAAGCGATCCTCCGTTCCCCGAACTTCCGGGTTGTGGAGCCATAGGCTCCTTCTGCTATCAATCAAAGAGGGAAGGGGCGTGACCGGCCACAGGGCTGTGTGTGTCTATGGATGCACACAGCCGCTGGGGGCACGAGCACGCAAGGGTGCCTCAATTAGAACAATGGTGGCACCCGTGCAGGGGGCGGGGGCAAGAGCATGGCGGGGACCCACTAGAAAATGAGGAATGAAGAACTTTTAAAGAAAAAAAAGCAACAGCCTCCAGCAAAGGTGGGTCTCCTTAAAGGAGAAATAAAAAAAATAAAAATGTAATATCACTTTAAATCTCAGTCCTCCAATGCATCTGCTGAGTTAGTTTAGTTATAACATGGTAATATACAGTATAGTAACCAAATGTAAACTTCTACAATGATCCATTTAGAATTTGAAAGTGTTGTGGTCATGTTATATTCAGTTTAAATGTAATCGGTTACCATTTCATAACTAGGCAATCTCTGCAGATGCATTGGCAGACCGAGGTTTTAGTAGTGTAATGTTGTATGATTCTTATCAACTTTACATTTGAAAGTGTGTGTGTGTGGATTTTTTAAAATAAATAATCTGGGGGGGGGGGGGGGGG